AGATAACGCTCACTTCTTTCTCTTTTTACCTAGTAGGCATTTCCCTTTCACTTCCTTCCTTCTAGACACTTCGTTACGCTCAAGAGGACGCCTCTTGGCATAGCTATCCTCTTGAATTTCTCCATTACTTTCTGAAGAACATGGAGAAGAACAGCTGCTCTCTCATATATCCACCAGTCTTATTAACTGACATCGCTACAGTTGCAGGATTTGCACAATATCTTCATTGACTGCTCTACAATTCTCTCATCCTTTCTTCTCGGCTTTGCTCTCTTCTCTTCGGACGAACTACCTGTTGGATCTCCCGGATACCACAAATCTCAACACTGATGCTAGACGGGGTTGCATCTTGCGTCATCCATCATATACTCTCCGTCCGTTTTCAGAGGAACAACCAACCACAAGAATTTTTTTTTTTTATCGCGACGCACAAATTTCCCATCCATAAGAAATGACTACTGCGGACTTGGAGGAAGGTGTTCACGAAATCACGTCGGCTGAAACCGCATATACAGATGCTCCAACAGTCAAAAGGCCCGGAGACGAAGACGTATGTGCCGAAAAAGATGCCCATTCTTCGTTCGGGGGATCGCCCGCGCAGTCGGCCATGGATGTGAAGGGCACAGCGATTGATGTGCCATATGCAGAACATGAAAGCTTGCCGATAGCGGTGCCGAGGCTGAGGCGCAGAGGGCTTTTCGGACAACTTACCCTGCTGGCAGAGGTAGAGAATCCGAAGACGTATCTCCGAAAAACGAAGTGGTTCATCACATTCATTGTCGCGCTGGCAGGATCTACGGCTCCCATGGGTAGCTCGATACTATTCCGTAAGTGGCTCCCAGTTCAACTGCCATTAGAATTGAACCCCGTTGTGGCCGATCCATTTCCCTTGTTGATGCGCTCCCCTTTTCGGTGAACAACTCTCGCCGGTGGCCTCGCTACCCTCACGCTTCGAGAATTCCTCGCTGACCGAAACGGTCTATATATCGTCCATTAGCGCGTGCTAACAGGTTCTCACAATAGCCTCCCTCTCTCAAATTTCCAAGGAAATGGACGCACCAACCACTGTCGTCAACCTGAATATCTCGCTGTACATGCTGAGTATGTCTATCTTTCCACTTTGGTGGTCGTCTTTCAGCGAGAGGCTCGGCCGACGAACGATATACCTCGTATCCTTCAGTCTCTTTGTGTTGTTCAACGTTCTGAGTGCCGTATCCCATTCCATATCGATGCTAATCGTCATGCGCATGTTAAGCGGTGGAGCATCGGCATCAGTCCAAGCAGTTGGCGCAGGGACGATAGCAGATCTGTGGGATCCGCATGAAAGGGGACGCGCAATGAGCATTTTCTACCTGGGCCCGCTGTGCGGTCCTTTGCTCGCTCCCATCGTGGGGGGTGCTTTGGCAGAGCGTTGGCGATGGAGGAGTACCATGTGGCTCTTGGCCGTTTATGGTGGAATCATCGTGATATTCATCTTTTTTGCACTTCCTGAGACATTGGCCAATCGAAAGCCACTTGATGGGGAGGAAGAAGCAACCGTTGAACGACAACTCAGCCGGATATCTTCCCGCCAGGTCGTCCACCTCACTGCCAGATGGTTGAAGGTCCTCAAGATGGTTTTCCTTGACCCTCTTAAGGTCGTTCTTTACTTGCGCTATCCGGCAGTGCTTTTGACTGTATACTACGCGAGTATCACCTTCGGCTCCCTGTACGTGTTAAATGTTAGCGTTGAACATACGTTTGGAACCAACCCCTACAACTTTAGCACCATTATTGTTGGATGCCTCTATATCCCGAACTCGCTGGGTTACATAGCTGCTAGTATTTTCGGCGGCCGATGGATGGACAACATCATGCAGCGTGAGGCCAAGAAGGCCGGCAGATATGACGAGCACGGCAAGTTGATCTATCGCCCGGAGGATCGCATGCGTGAGAATGCTTGGCTGGGCGCATTTCTGTATCCTGCAGCATTGATCTGGTACGGCTGGACTGCTGACAAGGGGGTCTTCTGGTTTGCGCCGGTTAGTTGGTCTAGCGGTTTGTTTTACTGGGAGAGTGAAAGCTAACCTTGTCTCCCAGATGGCTGCCAACTTTTTTTTTGGTGTTGGATCAATGCTCATATTCAGCATGTCAACGACGATGTTGACCGAATTCATGCCTAACAAGTCATCGACTGGTGTCGCATTGAACAACTTTATGAGAAATATATTCTCATGCATCGGATCGCTAGTGACAGCCCCCATTATTGATGCCATCGGGAACGGGTGGCTCTTTACGATCCTTGGGTTGGTCGCTTTCGCCAGCAGCTCGGTGATTCTCGCTATGAAAGTATTTGGACCTCGTTGGAGAAAGTCGATGGATGCTGTGAGTCACTAGTCTGGTCTTCTTTGGGGCCGGAATGCAGAAAGATACCCCAATAACGTTATTTTTATGAGTCATGTTAGCATAGCGTAAAGCAATCATAGAATCATCTGCTCTTTAGGTACCTGGTGTAGCTGATCTGTAAGCGCGCAATTCGCTTTCTGATGCAGAAATAGTAGGTCCAGACCAGGGTATTGACAGTAGGAAGTGACAGATTCTCTGTATTACTATATTCTATCCTTCGCTCTATTGATGTTGAAGCATGATGGCGATACTGAGCGTAGGGAAAACGCCGCCATAACGAGTGGAGGCTATTTGAGATTGGCCTGGTTGACTTGGTGGCGACTGTTTGGATGGGCAAAAGCTTCACCACATAATCTCTTCATTTACTGGTAAATGCAGTGCACTACGCACTGAGGTAGAGAAGGGCCATGACATATCATCGCGCGGCATCCACAGCGCAATCTGTCATACGATTGCCATATGTAGTAGACTCGTCAAGAAACATGTTTGTAGCCTTTTGAACCTCTTTGCGTGTTGTGAATCAATTGCCGAAGGAGCCGAGAATACACTTGAGGTAAGCAGTAGTCGGTCATGGATCAGAGATCATCTGCAATTATGCAGGTAACCACCACAGGAAGCTCTCTCAGTAACCTACTAAGGGTAGTACTACATGTCCAGTTGCATCTGGCTCTATGATTCGTCGCCCTGCTTATGGCTATGGACACCAAGCAACCAACTCTCAACGTCTATCTATCTATCCATCCACCTTCTTGGGTTGAAATTTGTTTTCTGGTAGCATTGAATGGGCTGAGCTGCTCTTTTCGGCCTGCTTCTCGGCGTGGCATACTCCGTAGTCAGGATAGCTCCATACATTATTTTCGCTCTGCAGTTTCTGCTCTCCTTTGCTATCATCAATATCGATTAAGAGAGGAGTGAACGAAGAGCCCTTTGAGATTCCAATGGGCCCAAACTATTCTAGCTAGTTAGTGCTCCATAGTTAGGTGGAAATTGACCACTCATTGACCGCCAAAGCAGCAATCCTCGCCTCATTTTTTAGGTGCAGCAATAGTAAACAAACCGGCTGATTACTGACACATCTTTAGGTGTTTCACAATCAGGACTTCTGGGTAATTCTGTGGCTTCTACGGATTATATTTGTCAGATTATTATTGTTGGCAGGATCCAATTCATGTTGATGATAACATCAACATAGCATTACATGTCGTTTCTTCAAAGGGCAAAAGTAGACTAAGGTAGATGGAGGTTGGGACTTGGGAGTATTTTGGGTATTGCCTAAAGCAGTCTAGAACTGATCTTCGTGGTGCTGAAGTGTCTCGGTGGAGTTGGAACGCCTTCTCTTTCTCCCTCCAAACGACTCGGTTTCATCAAGAATTGTCTATTCTATGTCCCAACTATCATCGTCGATGTCGTAATCGCAGAAATGAAACAGCTGGTGATCATGATTGACAATCTGCTGCAGCGAACAGGACAGAAGGCGATCATGCACTCCAGTCTGATCCCAGCCATGCTGGCCGGTGCTTCGACGCACCCTCCACACATTGTGCATCCTATTCCGGCCGCCGCCCGCAATTTGCGTTGGGCAGGAATCGGTGATTGAGGAGTGTCCCTGAGAGGTTGAACATGATTATCATCCTCGTTGTCCTGCTGGCCACTGGAGGCTTTCCATCTATATTTCTTCTAAGCATAGGAAACAGCCCGAGTCCTTCCGCTCTTCTGCATCACTGTTCGGTCTGCTTGGCATCTATGATGCCGTTAAGATCATGTTTATTGTCTAGCATAGGAGCTGCCCGACGAAAGCCCTCTCTTTGCTGGTCGCTCCTCCTAATGATTTACCCTTTTCGTCCACGCGCGTTGGCTTAGCCGCGCGAGGCTATTGCGGGTTATGGCCAAAAACAGAGAAAGCAACACAGACAATCATGATTTATCTGTCGGTGGCACCACCCCACCAACCCTGCGGTACCCAGTTATCCACAACCCACGCAACTCCACCACTGGACGGCTTCGCTTTCTCCCTATCGTCAATTCCCTTCTCGCCCCGCTACCTCTGCTGGCTACTGCATGCTCTTCCTGCAGATGGCAATCGTCCTGCTTTTTCCTGGCCCTAACGATGCTTTCGGGAGGGGTTCTCCCAAGCTCTTTTCCTAAACTCGTCAAGGGCTATTGGATCTGTGAGACGTGGCCCAATCAAAAATCATGCCGTTGGGTAGTTCGCTGGTGACGTCCCACGGCTATCCGGCCGCAAGACTCAACTGTAGTTTGACAGTATCCCATCCCAATGGGTACAGGCGGACGGCTATACGTCGCCTCGCCTTGGACCTTGGGCGGAACCACCATGCTGTTGGCGGAGGGACAAGAGGTGTGCTGCTTGTTCAATCCCGATTTGGCCTCCCTGACACATGAGTGTCTGCCCCAAATTCGGTTTTCCATGCCTGTTCATGTCTGAATCTTCCATTCCGTTCTCTTGCATCTTCCTTTTCTTTTTTTATCTGATTGATCGTTTCCTACCCCTGAAGAGAGTCTGACAGGGAAGACGTACTTTGTCTATATAAATCGATATATCAACTGGGCCGAACCGAGAGGCTTATAGCTGGACGTACTGTTACTGATCCGATGCCATGGCCAAAAAAGGAACAAAGAGCAAAAAGAAGAACAATAACAGCAATAGGCAACGCCTGCCGGTGAACGATAATAAGTTTTCCCTCCCTGAAGACAGCCCTACACCCGACTCCGGCCTTGAAGAGGCCACCGAGGCTGGGGACCATGGCCAACCTACAGTATGCACAACTTCCCAAGTTTGAATATCAGACATTCGAGCGTCAATATCAGACCTTCGACCGTCAAACTTTGCAATTTTCATTTTATCCCGTCACTGCTACTTCTTCGGATGGTCTGACATCGGATAAGGATCAGGATATCACCAACAACGCGACCAATTCAGAGGAAGGCCCATCCCCAGAGAGTGTTCCAGTAGAAGGATCAAGTAGTTCTCCCGATGACGCTGCACCTGCACCCGAATCTGAAGGTACGTATGCTTGCCAACCGCCACCTTCTCACTTTATCAGGGTTCAACTTGCTCACATTCGTCTAGAGTCATCTGAAGCGGCAGCTGCTCCACCTCAGCCTGAACCGTCAGATGAGCCTGCGCCAGAAGCCAAGGAAGAAGGAGAACCTGCGCCAGAGGCAGACGGTACTGAGCAGAAAGCGGAAGACGCTGCCGCCCCCGACGAGTCCGAGACGCAAGCGGCCACTGACGATGCCGCGCAAGCTCCACCGCCCGAGGAAGCTGATGGTGCCGCAGCTGCGGTAGATGAGAGTCCTCCGCCAGAAGGGGATAGCAACGGTATGCTTGCGGATACCGGAGTGCACAAAGCCAGCTGACCTCATTCCTAGAGGATGATTTCCCAGAATGTGATCCGTCCGCAGAGCTCGATAAGGTTGAGGCCGAGAAAGAGGAAGCGGCTCGGCAGGCTGAGGAGGATGCCAAAGCAGAAGAGGAGGCAGCAGCAGCAGCAGCAGCCGCAGCAGGGGTACCTGATGACGTCGATATTGATACTGGAAATGTGAACTCACCTACAGACAATCCGGACTGCGAAGAAGCTGCTCCCGTACAGGACGACCCACCTACGGCTGGGTCGGCAGAAGAAGATGCGACGAAACCCGTCACGGACGATAGTCCAGCCCCGGACGGACCTGCTGAAGAACAGAGCGACCCGCTACCCGAAAAGGAGGAGGTAGTTGACGACTGGGCCGAGGCTGCCGAGACCGACGACTCAAAAGAGCAGCCCGTCGCTGAAGAACAAGCTCCCACCGAGGAAGCTCCTGCTGAGCAGCAGCCCGCTGCTGAAGAGCCCGCGCCTGAACCTTCTTCTGAGGAGGAGCCCGCCGCGTCAACTGAAACGGCGGAGGACAACACTCCTGCAGAAGCGGTAGCTGCCAATGATGCAGCAGCGGATGACGTTGCAGACGGAACCGCACAGGAAGAACCGACGTTGGAGGAGTCTACCGCTGAGGAAGCCGCTGAAGAGCCTGAGGTTGAAGAAAGCCCAGTCGAGGACAAGCACGAGGAGGTAGCCGAAGCTCCCACATCCGAAGAAGCAGCAGCTGAGACACCGGCGGTGGACGAAGCTGTGGATGAAGATGCTGCCGCCGAAGCGGCTCCGGAAGCATTGCCAAGTGACGAGGTAACTCAATCAGAGGAAACTCCAGCGGAAGAAAAGGAAGAGGAAGCCCATGAAATACCACTCGAGCAACCTCCCGCTGAAGAGGCTGCTAAAGAGTCGCCGCCTTCGGAAGGAGTTGTCGAAGAATCTACTTCCCCCGAACCTGAGGCCGAGGAGCCGGCACCTACCGAGCAGCCCCCTCCTGTAGATGAGCCTGCGCCTGAAGAATCTCCTGCTGCTGAGGAGCCGACCCCGCCTGCGCCTGAAGCTGAAGAACCTGCGCAACCGGAGGAGACCCCAGCTGAAGGAGCTCCTGTTGCAGAACCGACTACTGTTGAGGACGTGGCCCCTGAGAAATCTGCTCCTGTTGAAGAGGCCCCGGCAGAGGAACCTGTTGCTGAAGAGCCTACTCCAGTTGAAGAGGCTGCCCCTGAGGAACCGCCTCCTGCCGAAGAACCTGCTGCGGCTGAAGAACCCACTCCAGTCAATGAGACTCCTGTTGAGGAACCTGCCCCAACGGAAGAACCCGCGGCTGAAGACCCAGCTCCAGCCGAGGAGGCTAACGAGCCTACTCCAGCGGAAGAGCCTGCTCCTGCTGATGAACCCGACATCGTTGAAGAATCCGCTCCAGCTGATCCACCTGCGCCTGTTGAAGAGCCGGCTCCTACTGAGGAGTCTCCCCCAGTTGAAGATCCTGCCCCCGTTGAGGAGCCTGCTGCCGCTGAGGAGATTCCTGCTGAGGAACCCACGCCAGTTGAAGAGCCCGTCGCTGCCGAAGAGCCTGCTCCGGCGGAGGAACCTGCCCCCGTTGAAGAGCGTGCTCCCGCTGAGGAGATTCTTGCTGAGGAGCCCGCGCCAGTTGAAGAGTCCGTCCCTGCTGAAGAGCCTGCTACTGTGGAAGAGGCTCCTGCTGAGGAATCTGTCCCCACTGAGGAATCTGCCCCGGTTGAAGAGCCTGCTGCCGCAGAGGAAATTCCTCCTGAAGAGCCGGCTCCTGAGGAACCTGCAGTCGTCGAAGAACCTGCTACTGTTACTGTGGAAGAGACTCTTGCTGAGGAGTCTGTCCCTACTGAGGAATCCGTCCCCGTTGAAGAGCCTGCTACCGCCGAGGAAATTCCTCCTGAAGAGCCGGCTCCTGAGGAACCTGCCGTTGTCGAAGAACCTGCTCCTGAGGACCAAGAAGTCTCCGAAGAGGCTCCAGCCCCAACGCCTGTTGAGGAAACCTCAAGAGATATCGATGGCTTGGAGCCCTTGGAAGCAGCTTTGCCAGCTATTGTTCCAGCCGCCATAGTAGCCGATCGTGCACGCAGGAGAAAGAGACGGTCCCCGGATCTGGGACAAAGGCGGCATTCGAAGAGTTCCTCTGAGGAAGTACGAAGATCATTGCCACGCCAGAAACTTGAGCGAAGTGGCAGTCTCCTTGATCGGTGGACCAAATCCCTCGAGGAAGCCAAGAGACAGCATGAAGAAAAGCTAAGGCAGGAGGAAAAACGAAGTAAAGACAAATTGCGTGCTCCCGAGAAGGCAGAGAAAGACAGGCATTCCATGGAGCGAGAGCGCTCTAAACGAAGCGAGCGTTCGTCCAAAGAAGAAGCTGCCGTGGATGTCAAGCCCAGTCGACGAAGGTCCGAGCGCTCAGGCACCTATGATGTCGAACGTTCTTCGCGAGAAAAGGCTACCGCGAGTATCGAACCGAGCCGAACCGGAGAGCACTCGAGTAGTCGCGGAGGCGAACGTAGAAGCACCTCCTCAAGGGATGGCCATGCATCGGGTTCGAAGCCGCGAGCCTTCCTGAAATATATGACAACAGCCGAATCAGAAACAAATGGGCCCCTTCTCAAGATCAATGGCAACAAAGCTGCTGCAAATGTATTTGAACGTCGGTCTTCCACGAGCCATACCCACAGTCACCGTCACGCGCACGAAGGAAGAGGGACCACGGACCGTTCCACGAGCTCCCATCATGCGGAGGAGGAAGACCATGCTCGACGCGAGAGAAGGGCTCGACGAAGGGCGGCGGACGAAGCAGAGCAGTCAAAGGGAGGAGAAACGACCGACCATCATCGCCACCGTCATAGTGGAGAGACACGCCATCGCCATCACAGACACCGGAGAGATGAGCCTCCAAAGGAACAGTCGAAGTTCAAGAATATGCTCAAAGCAGTTGTTGCTCATTAACTCAGGCGCCATTTCGCTTGTTATAACGATCTACCCACCTTGATATCTACTCCCATACTACCGTTCAGGTTATTGACAACATGGACGTTTCGCAACCATCTAGCGTCTCAGCGAATGTACTCTCGGCATCTTAGCATAAGCATATGTGGTGTTTTTTTTTGCTTTTACTTTGCCATTCTTCCTTGTATTCAATATTTGTTTTCATGAATGCATCTAGAGGGGTTTTGTACAGCAATCTTGTCGAGCGAGCTTTCTGACATTGGTTCTGTATTTAAAATGTGGACTCCTCCAGCGGGACACTTGTTTCGGAATTCACTGTGACCATTTGCAATGAAAAGAATCAACTTCTTCCACTTTTCTTCCTTCGATTCTCGAGGCAGAGCTGCAGATGCATCCCACGCGTCCCTTCTACCTTCCGGTGCCATAACTTAACGTACGATACAGTTGTCAGACATCGCAAGACCGGTATTCAACGTCTCGTCGTTATCTCTCCTAAGCATTTGCTAAGAAAGGCCACACAGACTAACTTAAACCTAACATCAGCACAGTCCGCGTGCGCGTCTACTGGAGCCTACTAATTGCACTGCAAGTATATATCTGACAGTATGTCTATGCGATGCCGATCCTAGCCACGTGTTTTACGCTTGTATCTTACTCAGAGATATCCAGCCCGGGCTGAATCAATACAGGGCCTCTGCCTCTCTGCTGAATATACGTTCAAGTCTGGCCAGTCTCGTCTCCTATGACCGTGAGAAACATTGTGTTGGCTTAGGGTCGTGCATGATCTGCAGTAATGTCACTCACATCATCCTCGTGGCGTCTTTCGCTACGGATAAGGCTCCGTATTGCTGTGACGGAGGCAGAAGATGTGGCGAAGATATGGTCATACTCGGCAGTCGCGGTATGGGGAAGATCAGTGCAGAAGAGAACCTAGGAGTAATATCCGCCCGTCCACGCACAGCAGTTCGACGTCTGTGGCGACGGGCATATCCAATCTGAGCTCTGGAGACTAGCTGATGGCCTGACTGTGCAGTCACAGAAGTTGGAAGTTGTCGATCGTAGCTGGACTCATCCAGCCGACTGACCAGTAACGCGTCCGTACCTAGACATCTGACTATGGCCTCATGGCCAAGCGCATGATATCATGATAGGCCTTTGGTAGACTCACAGCAAGGGAGCGAAACACGCAGCATTGTATGGAGTAAGATATCACCATCTCACCTCCCCTGTCTTAACAAATCAGCAGGGATGATTGGAAAGATGATGTCAGCTTCAGCTTACTTGTCGAGTGTCATCCTGTAGTCGTAGCCACACGGGTTGTCTATCCGGTGCATGATGACTCGGAATACGAGCAAATCATCGTGTCCGTTCTGCAGGAGAGTGTTGGTTCGCAGTGTTCGCCTGATACGATTGGGTGGTGGCCATCCGTGGACATCCATCAATGTTGGTGATCGTCTTCTTTGTGGACATCCTATAGAACGCTCTATGGCGTGTGGCATCCGCATATGGAATATGCTACCTGAATATTGAGATGAAGCTAATGGTGTGCAGAATGTCCTTCAGCAGTTAGTTGGTAAGATAAGCACTCTCCAGTGACTGCGTGTGCGGGTGCCTTGAAGAGAGCATGACTGATTGACTAGGCAACTGGTATTCTCTCGACAATAATCTACTATAATAAAAGACACCTCAGGCTGTTCCTCAATCGCCTTAAGGCACATGCACGTGTATAGTGGTTACCCATTACCAGTTTCCCATCCAGGAAAAATAAATCGGAAAAATAAAAGTTGGTACGGAGTACGCAGGAGAGAATCCTGGTCTTTAGCTGACACTGGCTTGGCTCGAACAATTGATTTAATCTAACCTTCATATATTTCCATGCTACTCTGTAATTCATAACAGCCAATTACTGAATTAATTCTCTGTTGGCTTGCACTTATGCTGCCACTGGCATTGGCCACGTTGTGTTAGACAATATCTGCATCCCAGCCAGGAATCGAATCCTATCCAGACGCAAAGACGTAGTTAATTAAGGGCAATTTGACATCTTCGCAGCATTTTGGTTTAACAACGTCTCCTTTGTTTATCTAGCTGGACGAGAACCCATCTTTATCAAAATACAAGGCCATTGTATGGAGTATGTAGCGGGGACATGACAGATCTGGTTCTGGATTTTAGTACAGTTGGCGCAGTTCAGGGGGTTACCAAAGCTTCAAGATCTACAATTGCGACACCTGTGATTGGGATGTTAGGGTAGACGGTAGACCATATGCCGCTCCCGTAAAAGTCTCTAAACGGGAGCTAGGCTCATCTTCCCAAGGAAATGCTTCCACATTCAACGGCGAAGGAACATTTCTCGCTTTTTGGCTGGTAGAAAGTGAACATATTCATCCAGCAGTTTTCAGAGCCCACATAGCTCCAGGTAAAGTCATTGTCCAATTTCTCGGCTAGCAGATTTCTATCCAAAAGAGGCAGCTGGGGAGTTGAGATTGCCAAGGCTTTGGGCGCTCTTTGCATGGGTTTGGATACAAAGCTGATTGGTATGGCGCCGATTTGTCAAGCGAGACACAACGGTGCTAGGCAAGATTAAGTAGTCACGACGACGGAAGACTGCCGAGCCAGTTTCCTCAGGGACAGAAAGCTAATATTACCTACTACTGAACTGCAATAGTACAGAGTAGACTAGACTACGCGACTACAGAGTATTAGTGAATCATGCGGACGGCCTCAGATGGGGTGGATTGACTCGAAAGCTTTGACAACCACAGATCCCCTGACAGCAGACTCCTACTCCATCAGGTACACTAGTTACATGTTCGGAGATAAAAGGAGTCGACCTTCAGATCGTTCTCCAATACTCCAATTTATTGCTAACTTCAGTCGCGGCACTTGGCGATAACCGGGCCGCTATTCCACTACTGGTAGCAGCCCAGGCGGTTCCTGCCGTTTCGTCTGTGGTGGAATCCAAACTCTCGCGATAGATTCCAAGGTAGGAGATATCGATGAGAAACTATCGTTAACACTAGAATGGCATTTGGTCTACCAGATCCTGGCTCAGTAGAATCCAAGCAGAATACAGAAGAACGTCTCAGCGTTAGGATCAACTAATCTATCTGCTGGTGAGGCATTGGCTGCAAGCCCGCAAACCGCAAGCCACATAAGTTAGTGGCTATTGAATTCTCAGATGATGCTATCTGGACTATTGATCTTACTTTGTGGCAGAATCCTTATTAATAGTGACACTTATGCTTGGTGAGATTCTGCCCATTTCAGGGGTCGCACCCGCTCAGGGTCCAGTCTTACAAGTCACTCCAGTATCCACGACTCCATAGCATGTCTGAAGGTTGAAGGACAATGAAACGCCAAAATAGGCAATTGGTATGAGCCCGTTAACTTGGCCGAGCTGGCCAGGAGGGTCAATGATTGCGCCAATTGGGAATCTGAAAGGTACGTCGGAGTCCTCTCCGCCATCCGAAGAGAAAGGTCTCAAGTTCTCCACCCTGAGGCTTTTACCTTCTGGTGTCAGGAATCAGGATCAAAAGTGGACCCAAGCTTGTAATTTACTGCACCCCTAAGCTCATGAATTTTTCCAGTACAACGTTCTTGGCGATTTGCAGATCCCAAGTCCCAGCCCACAGCCTGAGGCAATCAGGCCAGGCTGAATTCTCCTGGAGAACGGGTAACCCTATGAGCAAGGCGCAGTACCAACACCAACCTTTCTCATCCTTTCCGTTTCAGATCTCGATGCTTCAATCGATGACTCCATGATGACAGCAGATTTACCTATGTCATGTTTGAGATAGATGAATGACAGGAGTCGGTTGCATGGCAGTGCAAGATCCCTAAACTGTGCACTCGTGCAGGGCTTGGCTGCGAATTGCACTAGAGTCGAGACTCGATAATACAGCCATGATGCCATCGATATTTAGTCGGACGCTAATAAGCCTCATTAAGAATAGACCGTGTCGGGCCCGAGCCCGGGGATTGCAAATCTGGTCTCCATTGCAAATTATTATCTATCTACCATTATCTACCACCTACCATTATCTAACCTTTAGACTAGGCCCTAGTACTAGGACCTTTCGACCGGGGCGAGATTGGGCTCTGGCTGTGGGATCCTTGTCACGGATTGCTTTGTCTACCGATTCTCCGACCTGGAATGGACCTAACCAATCAAATACAAAAGTCCAGGTTGCGGCTTGTTCAAAATGGGAGGCTATACGACGAAGTCAGGTGAAGGGCAATGCTTGTGCAGGTCAAGATCTAACCCTCACTCTTCAGTTACCCTCTGCTTCAATGGTCGACGTTTATGAAGCTCTACCTTCTTATCTGCAACTGTTTTACTGCAACCATGGGTACCTAGTCATGGATACCTTGCCGGTATTGAGTAGTTCAAATTTCAGTTGATCTTACGATTCCTGTTGGACCTTACCGATTACCTGACTAGGCAAGGTGTGGTTGGTGGAGAACCAACTCCATCAACATACCTTAGCTATACCACAAAAGGCTAGCGGTATCCTGGTTCCATACAGCTTCTATTATGATTGAGGAATCACTGGCACACTGGTGACACCAGTGACACCATACTTGACACTAACAGAGGGCCTTTGGCCTTTTCCCCACAGACAACCACGTTGTTGTCTCACTCATAACAATCTCCAGTAACACACGTGCTCCTAGCATAGTACAGACTTGAGTTTTGGAATCTCAGGGTTTCGCGCATCTCGCGACAATCCTTGCCTAAGTTCCCTTGTGTAACGCAGGATCTGGACTTGGAATTGCCTGCATCTAATATGTGCCCTCGTAACACTCTGACTATTTTGGGACACCGCCAGATTCGCCGAGGAAGAAGCACGTAGTGTAAGTAAGTTGGAAGAAAAGAAGCATATTGACCGGTCGCTGACCAGTTGCCATCTCCGTCAACACACCTAGGTAATCATCAATGATAATGACGATTTACGGAAATACTAGTCCAAGTAGTCCGTGGTTTATCAGTCCCAACG